ATCGGTGTCATAGATGGCGCGGTTCCACAGGAACTGGAGGTTGTTGTCGCGTATGACGCGCTGGATCCCTGGCGGCATGCGGTCCATGAACATCCCCCGGTGCTCCCACTTGCGCACCAGAGCAGTCAGCTCGCTGAGACGATCGCCGTCGTGGTGTGGGGACAGCTCGGCGGAACTGACTGGTTCCAAACTGGCGGGAAAACACAAGAAAGAGCTTTACTCGTTGATATGTAAACGATTTTGACAACAGGGGCTAAAGGACTCCGTGAGTGAAACTTGCGCAATCCCCCTGGCATGCTGGCAGTTTTTATAGTCGGTTAGTATGGATACTTCTCAGAGTCCCTAACCAAAATGGAAGATTTCTATTGTTTTAGCAAAATTGACCTTGACCTTTGACCTGTAGGCCCCAAAAGCAATAGACTTGATAAGGCTACCAAGAGCAACCCACAAACCAAATTTGAAGACTATACAGGAACATGATTGTTTTTCTTGTTTTTTTTTCCAGCATCTACAAACATAAAACTTCAAACAAGTCGGTGTAACAATATTTGCTTTAAAATACTAACCCCCAAAATCCATCTATTTCTGCAAATTACAGAGAAAGCATATAGATACCAAAAAGCTGAAATCTCTTAGATTTTTCAACCCAACATTTTGGAGAAAACGTGTTAAAAGCTGTGGAAAAGAGTACTATTTACGACAACTTACACGTGAATCTCACCTTCGCTGTCTTGCTTGAGAAGTGTGATAATGTTGGGTAAAGAAAAACAACGAAATCCTTGTATGGAGAAAGCCCTGGTTCTTAAAAGACAAAATCGCCTCATGCCAACAACGTTATTAAAGTATCTTTTCATGGAATTTGAATGATACAATTCATTCCTTACTCTATGGAAAAACATATACATGTATACAATTAAATTTAACAAAAACAAATCTGACAAAATACAGAAAATATACAACTGGGTAAAATTGAGAATTCTTTATTCAAATCTTGCACTTCTCTGTCTCACAAAGTTGATCATGAAAGAAAATTTTTATTTAAAATACCAGGAATTTGTAATCAATATTTAAAATATATTTACATATATGTACACACATGTACATTAATGTCACTGACCAGCCCTTCAGTGTAAACTCTGCAGAAACCGTACACTCAAATGTGTGTATGCATATGCCTCTTTAATTAGGGCCAGTTTAAACCAGTAGAGACTGGTTTGAACTGGTTCAAACCAGATTTGAACCAGTATTTCATATACCTATACAATACACTAAGTTTACTGTCTGATCTACTAACCATGTCTTGCATTGTATCAAACAGTACTACATTACTTAAAAATGCAACTTTTTTTATTCCTACAATTTTAGTGAATCAAAGTAGATTTTCACCCGATGGTTTTAAACTTTTGAAGGTCTCTAAATATGTACAGTATTTTGCAGTAAGGCAGACATTTTTTTCTTGTGCATTTTTATGCTAATTTTTAAAAAAAAATTCTGGTTATCAAGAAATCCTTTGACTGAGATTCGTTTTTTGTTTGTGTGTTTGTGTTTTATTTCATGACGGAACTTTGCATATCAATCCCCCCTAAAGATAGATATATAATATTGGATGGCTTTGAGGGGGATATAAGAATATATTGCATGAGCTATGATGAGGGCACTATTGTTATAGGCTAGTGCAATATATTCTTGTATCCCCGGGGAAAAAAGCCATCCAATACTATTATTATTATTTATATCAAGCTGACTTGATCAGCAAGAAATACCTTTCAGGACACTGTCTTTATTTCCGAAACTTCACCGAATATTCTTTGCTTACCGAAGCAAATTTTGCGCTGCTCAAAGCTGCCATTGTTGGTATGCTGTTGACAACAGTGCACGTATATCATGATGCGCGTATGTCATGCTGAGCGCTGCGTCCGTGCCCGCGTGCGATGGTACCACGCTACGCTGTGTTGACCGGTTGACAACTGTGAGGTTCTACGCTCTTGATTGTGTGGGAACCAGCGAAAATTGTTAAAATGCCCGGATGAGGAAAATATCAAAAAAATAATATTGTCCTCATCTGGGTACTTTCTGACATAATATTGCAGTCGTCTGTGAACTTTTCATGAAAGCATACAATACAGTGATTTTTTTCTATCACTGGAAGCCTGATAAAAATAATAATAATATGGTTTAACTCTTTGGATACAAACTGAATTGCCTCAATTTTAACGAAAACAAAACAATGTGTACTATATGATCTTTGAACAGATATATCAAGTGTTCGTATCTGGCGGGTGCAATTTTGGAATAATCTACTCATTGCACACATAACCTATACAAAATTAAAACTAACAAAGGCTAAAGTTTTTCTGCTTATCAAGGTTGCTTCACTGACGGCAGAAAATGAAAATAATTCAGGTGGAAACCTTTGCTGCAAGGTCTACTTTTCTGTAGCATAAAAAGCATAGTTTGTAATGTCACGTCAGTATTTAAAGCACAGTTAACATTACAAACAATTCAACAGAGGAACAAAAATGCAACTTTTCAACTTATGCTACAAGCATTAAAGCACCGCATCCTATGAACTTCAAATTAAATATAATTTCAGATTTTTCTTATGGAATTAGACAACGGGTTAAAACAAATGGAATTACTGAACCAATTGAAAAAGTAAAACTTCATAACTACTTGAAACAAAATTTGGAACACAACAGAAAAATTGTGCAGATGTTAATTATGTTAAAGTGTGCAAGAACTCAGCCCCCTACATAAATTTCCATATGACCTTAACATTGGCCAGGTGGTTTCATCTTCTCAATTGAAAAAATCCCACATACAACTGAACAACAAGAATAATGTTTTTCCCAACTTATCTCAATGGTCTCTTAATCTCTTTTTAAAATGAAAAATTGACATTTTGACTTTTTAACAAAAACCTACGTTGTATTTTTCTTATGTACAAAGTATTTACATATGAAATAGTGATGTGTGATATCTACAGTGATGAAGATGCTATTAAATTTACACAGAAAGGGATCTTCAACAGTTAATGTATCGAGCAAAACATCCCCCCCCCCCCAAAAAAAAATGAAAATTCAAATTTCATTTAATGCTACTTGAAAAATAACTTGCATTGGTGTGTGTGTAACTATAACTTATATTAGTTATTCATATTTACTTAAAACACACCGCTACCAAACTATCTACATGGAAGATACCGAAAATGCATATTAATTAGGTATTGCCATAGCGATACCACATGCAGTTGCGATTGGATGAAAGAGTGAAGGTAGTCGCCTGGTATTGGATGCTTTCCTTTTTACAAATATTCATGCCATTCCTGGTACAATCTGATTGGTTCTCATGAACCACATCACAGTCAAAGGTTAATGATATACATGTAATCTATCTGGTTGAAACCAGTCACAGCTAGTTTCAAATCTAGATCCAAAAATACTATCAAATTCTCTTTTAGCTGAGGCAGTTTTGAAAAGTTGCTAGAGTACTCATGCTGTGTGAAAATTTAAAGTACAACCCGTTTTGTTGTTGTTGTATTTAAAAACTATTTACAGCAGACAATAATGATGAAACATGTATGTCATAGTCATTTATCCAACAAGCGTGAGTGGAACACGGAACAAAGTAGTGCCTCTGAGTACCAAATGCCACGAGGCTGAAGACCAAGTGGTATGTGGGACACAGACGCACCAAATCTATTTTCCATGAGCGCGAGTGGAACGGATTTATCTTCAAGCCAACTTGACGCACAGTAAAGCTGGATCGAACGCGCGCACCCTGCACACGAACTTTTCAGCGGTTATCCTTTAACACGTGCGTGCAGTAGGCATAGTGCGCATCTAAGAATAGTGCGATACCCAGACAGCAATATGGATAATGTTGTTGTCATGAATCAGCCAATCAGGATCGAGGATTCAAGTTTGCTCGAAGATGCCAGAATTCAGAATTTTTACAGCAAAGAATTTACTCTATGTATAGATTTCAGATTCAAAAATCTTTGTAGAGTTATTTGAAGTTATTTCAATTCATAAACTTTTTGGCAACTTGATTTAATCAAGTGGGGTAATCAATAAACAGGGAAAAAAAAGAAATTCACAAATCTCGCAGCACTTTTGATAGAAAATTCCTGAATCCGACAAAATCAAACACAGTGCACAAAACAAATGGTCATTATTAAAACTTAATAGGTGCATCAACCCCTGTGCCAAAAAAAAAAAAAAAAACTAGGCCCAACTTTCCTCAATCCTATAAAATCCTTCACAAAAACTCTGATGGAATTTGTAGGACCCAGGAGTGGTTATGGTTAGAAATCGACCAAGTTACTATGCAAAACATCCAATAAAAGTATCAGTGTGCAAAAAGGTTTAAATTCAGGTTTCTATAAAATTTTGTCACTTTTGCATCCCTTGCTAAACTGGCTGTGAGACTTTGTGGCAAAACGATACACATACCATGCTGCAAATTGTGTCCGTATAAAATTATTGCTTCTACAAACTACACTTGAGTCCAAATAAAAAAAAATTACAAAGTTTGTCCTATATTGGCTTAAAATAGAAGAATTTGTGCGATACACAAAATTATGGCTTACAGTGAATGTTAGAACGGAAACAGCGGCCAACAAAAATCTGGTAAGCACGGAAAATATCTGCTCAGCAAAAACAGGTTTCTCAAGGTACAAAGCATGCAAATTATTATAACTTCTGACTTGCTTGGGCAAAAATATTGTTATTAAGCATTCATTGTCTGCTTTGAACACCCTATGCAAACAGACTTTCTGTGCCAAGTTGTCCTTTCAGTCAAGTGGCTGTTTTCAACAATTGAGAGCTCCCAGCCTTAGAGGTAAAGCAGGATTGACCTAGTGGATAGTGAAGTGAACCATGGATCGCAAGATGGTTTGAACCCTTGTCCAATTTTATGAAATATTTTTGTTGGTTGGCATAAGTTAATTGCAAGGTAAACACTACAAATCCTAAGTGTCTTCCATCCACACAGCGTGATAAATATTCATGTTAGGGTGCGTGATGTGATTGGTTAAAATACGATGTGTCAGCAAAAAAAAAAAATGCAACCTGGCCCTTGGTTTCCTACGACCTGACCTGTGATGACCTCTGACTTATGACCCCGGGAGTAAGGAACCATCTTCTATTGGCTACAAATTCTGAAACAGAAAAAAAAAACGCCGTTATGTATCAATGTCGTCCAAGTCGCCCACGTCGTCCTGAACCAACGTCTTGGAAGACTCTGAGCTGTCTTCATTCCCGTTGACCTCTGACCCCTCTGACGACCCGTTGACCTCCATCTTGGTGTTGGAGTCCCCCTCGACGTACTCCTCCTCCTCTTCGTCGTTCTCGATGTGTTCACCGTCGTCGTCACGGGTGTTGAGCTCATCCAGCAGCGCGGTGGCTTCGGCCAGCGTGTCCTGGGCGCTCATGGTGCGTTGGAAGGACCGTCCCGTGCTGGATTCGTTGGAGACATTCTGAGGCGTCCAGTAGTGCTCACTCATCTATGCAAAACAGCAACATAAACAAAATAAGCACATTAATTGACTAGTCTTGATAGAAAGTTGCTATGGATTTCTTGTATAACATAATAAAATCAGTCAATTGACAGATCGTTGGAAATCACCTACATTTCTTAACTTCTTCTAAATGACGGCAAGCTAGACAAAATTTCACTAATACATAAGATTTTTGATAATAATCAGCTAGATTACTTCTGGGAGAAATGCATCCTATGTGCCTTCAAGTCAGCTTGCTTACAAAGTACCATGGATGAACTACAGTTTATAATAATTAGCTTGTTTTTTCACTTGGTTAACTTGGAAAATTAAACCTTTTGACTCGGAGATGTTATACCCGGTTAACTGACCTTTCCAAAAACTACATGTTGATGAGAAGTTCTTACCTTTTTCTTGAGCCAGTTGACCGCCCACTGCCACCGGACCGAGATGGTCATCAGATACTCTTTGGCCATGGAGCATTTGTTGGACAGATGGACCAGGAATTTGATGCACTGGTAGGACCGACGGCTGTCCGTGGACGTACATTTACGGATGATCTCTGCGAGACAATAACAAGAAATAGTGACATTAAGTTTATTACAGCCACGATGAAATAGTCTGCAAGGAAGGCAATTAAAGCTGCAGTCCATCATTTGCAGCTATCCAAAAAGTAACTGACATAATTATTGTTGAAAAACATACTTGGTTGAAAGATAGTAAGGGGACTAAACTCCCTGTGAAATTAATCTTTCTGCCATGCTCTCATTTTTAAGAAATCAACGAAAGAAGGCCTTTCCAACAGTGCATCTAAAGACGCACCATTGGAAATTTCTGTTAGTACTTCTTTTTTTATTCGGCGAAGTGCACGCAAGCATTGACACGACGCACATGCGCGCGCCCTCTATAATTCGTTGGATCAGTGCGCAACATCGCATACCTGCAATCAGCTAGGTGAGAACGTGTCTCGGACGCTGAATTCAGTCCCAATTCAAAACATGATTCGGCAACTGTTGATTTGAAATCGAGATGCTAGAATGTTGTTTCTCTTGAAATATACAGCTGAAGCTGAGCTGAAACTTCATGAGGTTAATTGTATCAGCACCCTTCTTTAGATTTTAGCACGTTTGTTGGGTCATACATTAACAAAATGCACAAATTACAAATGATGGACTGTACTTTTGAATCTTACTACTCTATACAGTTTTGGTCCAAAGTGTGACAATTTTCTTGCCCCTGTTACCACGGTACTTTGTAATTTTCCATTCAGAAATACCTAAGACAGTTTACCCATTCCTATTGGTCGAGAGCCTGTAACGTGGCCGGTCTTAAACGGTTGATTAAACACCGGCTGGCTGGTCTTTAACACTCTTCTGGTGTCACATGAAATTTGGACTCCTATATAATCTGGTCCAATTACCCTTTTATTGGTTGAACGTTCACAATCCTCACTTAGAAATGCGCAACAATACCAGTGAGTCAGTATTTCATAGTCATAATTCATACTACACCGGCACAGCTGTGCTCTGCGCCACTACTCCAGTATGCCTCACACGCAGGCCAATCCCCATATAAGGAGTTGTCTACAACTACTTGCTAGAGGCATATACCATAACATAGTCAGAGGGATGTTTTAAAAGAATATGAAGTAAAATTATTGGAAAAATCATTGGAAATTTAAATTATTTTGACTGGTGATGACTCTTTGACGGAAATGGTATTTGTGAAAGGGTATAAATCTGTGCTTGGCTGGTATTAAACAAGTCTGTTTAAGACTGGCTGGGGGCCTTGTCGCTACTGATATCCCTCCCTTCGGCATTTAATTCCCCCAGCCAGTCTAAAACAGACTTGTTTAAAACGAACCAAGCACACATTCATTCCCTTATTCAAGTATCATTAAGAATGACTTGAAACGTTTTATTTGTTGGGTAGGTAGTTTGCAATTCACATTCACTCTTGGAGGATGACTGCATCAAGGAGTGCACCAGAATTACAAAAACACAGATATCAGATGTAACAGGCATATGAAAAACAAGTTGACCCCACATTGATACAATACCCCATATGTCTTGGCCTCCCAAGATGGCGTCCGAGTGGCTTCACCCTACCTAGATCAGTATATACAGAGATGAGTGCTCCTTACCCAAGAGGCCATTGTTGTTGTTGCCTTCCACAGCTAACTTGAGGCGCTTGCCCTGCAGGGGGTCCTCCATCATCAACAGCTCCAGGAGGAGAATCAAGATGTGCTTCAGCTCATTGGTGGGCGCCGAGGACACCTGACCCTGTATCGACCAATCAGGGCGGAGAGACAATAAATGACAAAAAAAATCAATACAACAGAGAGAAAAAATTCTGGCACGTACATAATGTAGCGTTTCCAATTTCCATCTCCCTTGTTATATTTAAAAGGTAAATAGGATCAGTTGCTTTTGTGCGTTTTTTTATCTTCACTTTGATCAATGGTTTTCTCAATAAATTGTTAAGTACGTTTCTGGATCATTGCCCATGTTCCTACCGGTACATATACGTGCCTTTAATAACATTCAAATACTGCAGACTGTAAGAAATTATTGCTTGGCACAGTAAAATCAAATGAGGATTTTTTTGTACAAACTGTCTGTACAAAGCATTTCCTTGACACAAATTAAACACTTGTTAAAGGTTGGGTAGATCATTTGTCATTTGTGTTGTTTTTTTTTGAAGCGACAAAAGTGCCCAAAATCTAAGGATGGGTGCTTAGCAACTAACCTGATGAAGTTTTAGCTCAGTAAATGCTGTATGTTCCGAGAAAACAATATTCTAGGAACTTGATTTCAATTCAAGAGTTGCCGAGTCATGCTTTGAATTTCGCCAGAAATCAGCATCCGGGACCCGTTCTCATTCAGCTGATTGCAGCTATACGATGTCATGCATTCAACCGACGAATAATAGCATCCGCGCACGTATGTGCGTTGTTTCAACCCATTCACAGATTTAACAAATTACAAACCAACAACTATAAATGTCCAAAAATGCATCACTTAACGCATCTTTTGAAATTTGCATCGAGTCAACACTTGTGCACACCCATTCACAGATTCACCGAATTACAAACCAACAACTAACGGACATTTCCAAAAATGTCTCACTTGACGCATCTTTGGAAATGGCCTTCTTCTATTGTTTTCTTCAAAATGACAGCATGCCAGCAGGAATAATTTCACAGGGAGATTAGTGCGCTTACTAACTTTAAACCAAGTAAGCTTTTCAACAATAACTTTGTCAGTTACTTTTTGTAAAGCTGCAAATGATCTACTCTACCTTTAAAACAATGTTCATCAATATGAATGAGACAAAAAATGACAAATCTGCCCGTCTTAACAAATTTTGAATTACTTGCTGAAATACAATCCTGAAGGTTGCAGATGTCCTCAATCCTTCCCCCCCCCCCCCCCCGAATTTTTTTTGGGTCTTTTGGGGGATTTAAATAAAAACATACAGTACAAACATTTGTTGGATCAACTTGAATTGTAAGGAATTGTACTTACGTGGATCATCATCATGACGGACAAGGTGAACGTGTCGTTGCAGTAGCAGCAATGCAGCAGCATGTCCAGCAGTGCAGTGGTTGCATTGGGTACTTCACGGAACATCAGTATGACCTGCAAATGTTTTGGTAGAATAGCATTTGTACATTCATTACATTTGAATGTTTTAACATTTCTTGAAGCATTAATTCGTACGAGGTGCAACTGATTACCATCTGATACAAGGGTCATTCCACCGGGTTGGGAAAACAGTGCATCGTACATCCAAATAATTGGTTATATTATTGAAAGTATCAATGCATTCTAAACAATTGCTTAACATAAAATTTGTCTGAGGGTGTTTTAATAACTGTGAAAGTTTGAAATCATTTGAATGGACTTTGACAAAAATATGAGCAAAAATGAATTATTCAGATGTAACAGTGACAATGTTACAACCAAATCCTTTTTTTTGGGGGGGGGGGCATTTTTTTACACAGATGTAAAATAATACCCAAACTGACATTGCATATTTATAACCGGACACCTAATGCACCAAGAAAAGATTTTGTTTTGGTATAGTCAGGGTTCAAATATAGCAGAAACGACATGTAGCAAAACGGTGTCCAAATCACTCAGTGGAAGTGACATTTGGGGTTGACACGACGTGGTGTCAATGTGACGTCCACAACTAAGCTATAAATTCTGCTCCATTTGATACCCAACTACCGTAATAAAAGTTGTTCTTAGTGTGTTGCATGTATAGTAAGAAGTACATAAAGGGAATTTGGGTAATGTTTTACAGAAATTTACATTGACACAGTGTCAATGTTACATCGGAATGACATTTTTGCTCATATTTTTGGCAAAATACATTCAAATGATATAAAACTTTCTGCAGAAGTGAAACACCGAACAACAAATATAGGTTTTCCCGGCCAATTTCCTAAAAGGTTCATTCACTTCTGAAAATCGGTCATTTATTTTCGTCTGAATTTGAGAATTGCTCTGAACACGCATTTCATTTTCGCTACCAGAGCATTCAATTCCATTTCAGTTCAATCAATTAAGTGATTGAGCAGCACCTTTCGTTTATGTCTATTCAGATTCGTTTACAAGACTTCTTTTTCACTTTTCGAGGGCGATTTCAAACATTCACCATTCTATTCCACTTTTAGTTTAATGCATTCCACACCACTAAGATAAAATTAGGGGTTTCATTTTCATTTACTGTCAATCAAATTAGCTGTACCAGAAATCAATTCAGAAAAGGTACGCTTGCGTAAATGAATGCACAGGTAACATAATTGGCCGTCTGTTTCTCAAATCCGTATGCACGGACAATGATAACGATTGAACTTTCGTTGAGTTCAAATGGGATTAAAGATCATGCATTCAAATTCAGACGAAACTGAATGACCGATTTTCGGAAGTGAATGGAGATTTTAGCAACTGCAAGCAAGGCATTCATACTTTTCATAATATGGTCATATATTTTACACATTGTTTCCCAACCCGATGGAATAACCCATAAAGGTTATCCTCATAAACTTTTTCATAATGAAAAGTTTTTGACATTTGCTGATCGCAACACTGCGTGTACACGCTCAGTATATGTGCGCATGCGTTGTTGAAAGACCAAAACAGGCATATCTTTAAAACCGGGCAACGTACAAATCTGGGGTGATCAGAAAATGAAAGAAGACATCTTCAGCTTGCTATAGGGATGAAATTTGTCATTGACAGTGCTCGGCCAATAACGACCATTTTAGTTTGAAAAAACACATCCACTCTTTGTGCTCCTATTCAATAGTGCACATCAGGAAGCGTAAACTAGTTTTTTTAGCACGCATGTCCAAGTTGTTTTTACCACAGCGTCAAAACAAAAAGTTCGGCAACCTTGGGGTGACGTCATTCATAAAGTTTACAAAATTCTCTAAACGCTGATATAAGAAGCATGCTAATTGGACAATAAATCCCGACGACCATTTTGGCTTGAAAAAATATAGCCAGCCAGTGTTTTGATAAGTTAGCCCATGGTTAGCCACAAACACACATGCGCGCGTATTATGTACATTGTATATAAATGTGCGCGCCTGTTGTGTAGCGTGTGTTCTGTAGTGTGTGTATGCAGCGCCCCGCGTACTTGAGCTTATGTCCGTTTGCCTATATCAACTTTTCATTACGTATACATCGATCCCTCTGCCTACATGCACAAGAGCAGCCGGGTACAATGTACAAGTACCACTGAACACCTAGCCACAATCAACAACAATATGCTTGAGGTCAGAGGTGTCTCATAATTAAAGCTCTTCATAAAAACCTGGGAATTTCCCATATGAGACATTGTGTTCATAATGAAACAGTTCAAAGTTTACATCACAACAGCCAGTGCTGTGCACTTGACTGTGGTAGCGAGGCACTAATCAGTATTAGACAATCCGTGTACACAACATACAGTCGTGCTGTTGTAGTAATAGTAGGGTGTGGCTGATACTGCTGACAGACTGCATGCAAGAAACGACTTTAAACTGTACCCATAAACAGGCCTGTTGAACTTGTAGGTAGGTGGACAATGTAATGGGAATATACATTTGCCTTTTGCTGTAATTTTCAGAAATGGATGGATTTTGGGGGTTAGTATTTTACAGCAAATATTGTTACACTGACTTGTTTGATGTTTTGGGTTCGTAGATGCTAGAAAAACCAAAAAAACCCAATTGTGTTCTTGCAGTCTGGTTCTCCTGCCACTTAAATTGAAATGGAGCAATTTTAAGACCCATAGTTACATCGTGTGTGAATGTCGACGAGTGACAGATGGCTATTATTTCCCGAAGGAATAAAATTAAGGGAAAACCACCAGGCCCAAGGAATAAAAGGGAAAACCACCAGTAGCTAAAGTTTCGTGATGACTCCTCGTGCGGCGCGGGATGAGAGATATGCCGGTTCACTATTGCTCAAAAGAGGGTACCAGCAGTTCAAAATCACTTTACCGAACGATCATTATTACGAACACTGTCTGTGGATCCAACGATGTTCTTTATAGTGGCGTTCCACTGTATACTGAACATGAGTCAGTCTATATTTATACAGCATCTTATAGTATGCATAAGTTGAAAGTTTGTTTTTCTTTCCACTCTTATATGGTACATGTAGAGTACAACTGAGCAAGATGGCAGAGGGAGTTCCCAAGTGTCGCAAGCATCCAGATCAAGATCTCTGTCTGTGTTGTAACACATGTGACATCCTCATATGCAATGAATGCACAAACATTGACCACAAAGAATCCATGCATTCTCACGTCAGTATCGACCAGGCGGTCAGCAGATGTAAACAAGAAGTACATGAATCCGTATCTAAAACAGAAGAATGCATTCAAAAATTTGTTTCCGCCAACCCCTCTTCAGGTCATTCACGTTACCGACTTGACAAGATGCTGGCAAAAACATACTCTCAAATTTCACAGAAAGCAGAAAAGGAAATTGCCAAAATCAGAGATAAAGAAAAACAACTCAAAACGGAGGCCAGGGCCATTGCCATTAAACGAGATACAGAATTTGCCTATGCAGAAACGTCTCAGCAGATTGTGGGTAAAGTGAATGAAGTGATGACTACAGCGACGTGCTATGAGATCCTGGAGTCCAAGAAGAAAATGCTGCGGGATTTGAATGAGCAGGTGGAGGTGCATAAGAGTTTGGATATCAAGCATGGGAAGTCATTCCTTGGCTTTAAGGAGAGTGAAGAGGTTGGTCAGCTTGGGACTCTGCTCTTGGAGGAGAGATGGGAGAGAGATGAGACCTTTCCAGAAGTTGAATGTGAAGTATGGTGCTCAGGACATATAGCAGCATACTCCACAAGTGAAATGGTTGTGGCAGACACTGATAGACTGGTTACACTGGATCCAGAGGGAGAGGAAATTTCGACAAAGTCCTACAAACCTGACCCTGATAATCCAAACGATCCCCATGACCCTAACAACATTCAGAAAGCAACAGCTCTAGCCATCAACAAGGATGATCAACTTCTGATCCTAGACAATCCTGCGGTCAAGATCTTCAACAAGGAATACCAGCTCCTTCATCAGTTCCTACCGGGTAAAGAGGCGGGCGTGGACGGCACGCCGACATGCCTGGCAGTGGACAGCAGCAATCTGATAGCAGTGGGTTACAAGGACAAAGAACAGATATCTCTACACAACCCAGATGGTTCCCTCGTCAGAACACTGCCTGCTCCAAAGATTGATGCACATTTGATTTTCAGCAACAAGCGACTTATTTACACCAACTACAAACAGGGTTTGCTGATGGCTGTTGACTTGCATGGCAACAAACTGTTTACTCAAAGTTGTAGTTATCCCCATGGGCTGTGTTGTGATGATGCAGGTGATATTTACCTTTTGGCCTCAAATAAAATCTGCCATTTTAGTGCAGATGGCAAGTGCATTGCTTCATGGGACTGTCAGGGTGGTTCTGGTATCACATACACACATGCACATAAATTAGCAGTTACATGTACACAAGAGTTTGGCCTTGAGGACGACATTTTCATGTATCACTTGGTTTAGAGATATCAACCAACACATAATTGTTCAAACGATCAAAACAAAAGGCAGGGAATAAAAATAGAAAAAAATAAACGAAAATGGTATCAAGACATTTAATATCTACAAAACATCCATGAAAATTATTGATGCTCCATGCATCCGTGGACATGTGCAATGTACAGAAGCTTTCTGATTGCAACTTCACAAACAGGACAGACTTGAAACACTGTGAGCAGGATATGGGATTGTATACATGTACATAGAAAGTTTACATGTGTTATATTACATTTAGTATCTTACATATGTACATCAACCGCAGTCATATGTGCAAACTTATTTGGAGATTGTACAGTTGTACATACTTCCATGTGTTTAAATGGAAGAGCTAGTTTGATATTTTTTTCCCATTTCCCAAAATGACAAAATTTGTCCCAATCTGATAACATCGCCTCAGAAATATAACAATACATTTTTTTTTTACAAAAGGAGTTCTATGTAAATTGTAGGTTGAAAAAATACTTAATTATATCACATCAGTCTTGGAAAAAACACCGCATGTGTCGCATTGATCTTCTCTTCTTCTACATGTTTTGCTT